CATTATAAAGATTCTAGCTCATTTTAGCAAAGCTTCTGTTTATTGAGTGAGTATGACCTAATAATTGATATTTGTGTCGAGTGGATTTATTGGTTTTGCAAGATTAACCTCTTTCTTAGATGGTTTATATGTAATATAAATACAAGTGTTCATTGGGTAATAAATAAAATGAAAAATAAAACATACCAACACGACTGTTATCTAAGATGGAGTACACAGAGGCATTCATTTATTTTATACAAATACAAAGAAGCTAACGGTCCACAATGATAAGTTGTAATCATCGCCTACGCCTGCCGTTGTCAATGCTGGACACAGAGAATTTAATTTATATTTTATTATGACTTCGTATGTATGTTAGCCTATAAGATATTTATAATATGGACCATCAAATTTTCAAATTCAAATTCAAAATACATTTACTCAAATTAGGTCTATTACAGTAACATTAAAATCTACCGTCAAGAATGATTTCGAGATGAGAAGAACTGACAAGAAACTCAGCTCGATAATCAGTGTTTTGTGTTAAATTAAATTACATTATCATGTGACGACCGTGATACTAATCATCCTACTAATAGTACTAAGATGTCGTGCCTATTATGCTGTCATAACAATAGCTTATCTAACGCTGTAACCGTGACATAATAAAAAAATGTTGGCGGCTGAAATAACTAAGGGGTATTCACAGAGACGACTTTTAACAAAGTGGATCGTCATTCCGTTGACCATTATTTAGGGTCGCCACAGTATGTTATCTGACTGATCCTGTCAGCCGACATATCTGAGTATACTCTCCTTTCATACAATCCATTCATCTTTTTTTCGGTTCGGTTCATGTTATATACTCTCTTTAAGACATATTCTCTCCTCCGTATAAGATGCTTGTTTTACAAAACCGATGTCGATAAAAAATACCAAATGACGACGTTGTAGTGAATACAACACTGAGACTTTTTTACATGATAGGATTCAAATCTACGTAACAAAATAAGTTCAACGACGTTGTAGTGAATACAACACTACACTTACCTACTTTTTGGCATCACTAGGATTCAAATCTACGTAACATTATAAACCAACGACGTTGTAGTGAATACAACACTACACTTACCTACTTTTTGGCATCACTAGGATTCAAATCTACGTAACATTATAATCCAACGACGTTGTAGTGAATACAACACTAGACTTGCCTACTTTTTGGCATCACTAGGATTCAAATCTACGTAACATTATAATTCAACGACGTTGTAGTGATAACAACACTAGACTTGCCAACTTTTTGGCATCACTAGGATTCAAATCTACGTAACATTATAATCCAACGACGTTGTAGTGATTACAACACTAGACTTGCCTACTTTTTGGCATCACTAGAATTCAAATCTACGTAACATTAAAATCCAAGAATCATATTTATGTCTTAAGATTTTATGAATGAATATAGATAAAGTAAAAATCGAATGCGTGAAACAAATCGAGTGACATTTGATTGTGCGTGTACGGTGCGCGGGCGCATAATAAATAAATGTTAAGGGGTAAATTTAGAATGGCAGTTCAGTCACCCGGGATCTCGATCGGTGCGCAGTACGTGTGGGTACACAATAAGATAATATTAATGTTTGTAATACACATATTATTATATTAAGTGCCTCATAAATAATCAATTGGTAATATTAATAAGAATTGCGACTCTGAAGTGGCAATAGTTGCGGGACCACTATAGCTCGAGGAGAATCCACGTTGGGGCATTTATATCGCATGTCCAAACACCAGAAAGCAAGGTGGACCGACGATCTGGTCAAAATCGCTGGAAGGCATTGGATGTCAAGAAAGCGCAGGACCGATCGTTCAATTGTTACAACACATGAACGTCTATCGATGATGATAATGATGATGATGATTTCAGGACAATTCACACAGCGCCATCTAGTCCCAAGCTAAGTGAAGCTTGTATTATGGGTACTATTTTTAATAGGTTGTGTGGGTTATTGTCAGGTGCTTGGACCTGTAGCACTGCATCTACATAGATCTATTGTGCTCGATCAGAAGTTTTTGCGTGAAAGACTGACATCCATCGATACTCACAAACTTTCGGGTTTATAATGTCAGTGAGATTACATTGATAAATAAACGGTTGCAAAATAAGTTCAATAAACTGTAAGTGAGTAAACAAAGACCGACACTAAATCTCAACACCAGAACAGCGCCCTAAAAATCAATTAACAAGATCTTCAATAGTCGTTTAGATTTACGAACTTGGGAGGAATCATCGCGGGACCATATGCGAAGAATCCGAAACAGTATTTATAAGCACCAGTTATGGGGTGTACTAATAGCATGGCGCTTAATGACACACGAGGATTCTTAAACAATATAATCAAGTTAAGTTATTTTTATTTTCTTTTTGCAGAAATAGAATAACTCGAACTTGTCAAGAAAAACTCGTTATTAGAAAGACACATGTTTCTTTATCATTAATGATGGTAATGATAATGGTACATGTGTTGTGACTGATCAATTCATAACGCATTGAGTTTCTTGTCAGTTCTTCTCAGCACGAAAGCATTCCGATAGATTTACATGAATAATATTCTTTTTATAAAATATATTGATTTTGCAGGTAAATTCAATTAGACTACACTGTTATAGGGTTGCGGGACCACTAAAGTGACGAGAATCCACAGGGAGGTATTTATATCGCATGTACAAACACCAGAAACGGAATTTACAGAAATGAGAACTAGATGTCAAGAAAAAAACACCACTTCAATTGTTACAACACATGTTTCATTATCATTATCATTACTATGACGGCCTTGGTGGTCTAGCGGTTTAGCATACCGCTTTACTTCCGATTGTCGCAGGTTCGATTCTTCGCACGGCACAAACATTTGTATTCATGAGTATGATAGTTTGTATCGGTCTGGGTGTTTTCTATGTATAATATGAATGTATTTACTAAAAAAACTATATGTTTATCAGTTATCTAGTACCCATAATATTATCTTGAATATAAAATAATTTTTCATCTCCATAATATATAAAAACGTTAATAGCGTTAAACAATATCTTTCTTCTTTTCTGTGATAACTATGAATAATATTTTATTTTTGAATTATATAATTCTTTGACCTCGTTATTAGAAAGACTAGCTGCTGTTTCTTGAACTAAAGGATTACTTGAATGACTATGGTGCTAGGCAATAGTTGTTCATGCGTTCGTGTTGTACTTAAATATAAAAAACCTATATAAATGTACATTATTACATTTGAACTAGTCGCTGTCGCACGTCTTTCGGTTATGTATTTAAATCTTTAAAACTATGCAATAAAGCGTTTTTTTTAATACAAAATAGTGATTAAGAGTAAGGTTTATATAATATAAAAAACCCCATAAGTGAACCGGGGTGATTGAATTATGAATTAAACACTATTAAAAAAAATATGTTGTAGTCTTTCCGTTCTATGTTGGATCTATATACTAAACTGGACGGTAGAGAAAAAATTATAATATAAAAAAAAATTTGTTCGTATAATATAAAAAACGTTAATATGCGGCAAAATGTCCTACCTGTGATAACATGAATAAATTATTTTTGAATTTGAATTTGAACTATTTCCTAGACGTCTTTCCGTTATGTTCGGAATCCTCGGGTTGAAATAAGGGACCGCTAAACAAAATAGCGTTAAGAGTTCGTGTTGTACAAATATAAAAAACCCCATAAGAGTACCGATTGAATTTGAATTTGAACTATTTCCTAGACGTCTTTCCGTTATGTTCGGAATCCTCGGGTTGAAATAAAGGACCGCTAAACAAAATAGCGTTAAGTGTTCGTGTTGTACAAATATAAAAAACCCCATAAAAGTGCCGATTTTCATTATTACAATTGAGACCACCACAGAGAAGTGATTAGTTGAGCTGTAAACATGTAAACACGGATGTATGTCCCTCCAGCGACCTAGTTAGTATAGCCCTTATGTAACACATCGCGACGAAAATGGTTTTACGGCTTTGGAATACTAAAATCGGTTTAAAAACAACTTTGTATCCGGTTTATTACATCTTTATTTACAGTTTCGGTAATATTAGTTTTACTACTGTGGAATTAGGTAGTTCTGAATTATATGGGCCGCTGTCGTTATTAGGCCCTGCGCAGACTACTCAGTCTCTTGCAATCCCAAGAGTGCTTTCACGCAAAACATTGTCGAATGTGAATCTAAGTAATGTCTAACAGAAAAATAATACAAAAATTACAATAAGATACCAAAGGATATACTGGAATTACTGAGCAAAGCCCATTCTTGAATGGCAATAGTTGTTCATGGACAGGATTTTAATTTAATGTTAGACATAGACAACTATATAAATAAAAATATATAATTCAGGTGAGTTTTTTGCCAGTTCTTTTAAATTGAATCTGTATATTGAACCAGACGGTAGAGAAAAAATTATAATACAAAAAAATTACGTTCATAATTGGCACAACAGAAAATTGCCAGCTAAAATGTCCTACATGAATAAATGTTTTTTGATTTAATTTTATTTGAAAAGTACATGTAAATATCTCGTGGACGTCAGATGAAAGATGAAAGATAGAGAAAACAGATATTTTTTGATCTACCTTTCAAAATATATACACAATTTGAAAGTACAAAGATACACGTATCGGGAGAGATAGATATCGATAGATCGTGTGAACTGAAGCAGGAGTCAATGGTCTCCGGAATATATAACGTATAATAACTTAAAAATATATCACGCGATTTATGTAGTGAATATTTGTATACCTGTATACATCATAGACAACAGTTAACACCCATAACACATGTGATTAGTGAATATCCCATTCCACTTACATTATAAAGTGGTTCGAGTTAACAAGAGTGAAGTTGATGGCATTTGGGAGGCTGCAACATATAACTGCAAATCGTTCTTGATAGAAGCAAATTGTTTATGGTACTTAGAATTAAGCAAAAGAGAGAAAGAGAACTCACCTCCTTTTCCTGCTGGACTTTGGCATCGCCGTGTATCTTGTCACGGAGGGCGACCAGCTCCACCGGCCAGCTCGACACCTCCGCGTCGGGATCCGACAGCAATACCTATACAACATACATATTTATATATATAGACATATATATATATATTATTTATATAAGCTATAGTTGTCAACCATCCTGTTTTCCCAAAAGATGTCTTAGTTTTTGTAGTGTCCTGGGACACCCTGAATAGTTTTTAAGCAGTGTTCTTGGTTTATAAATTTGCACTTCTAGTAACATGGTTTATAATGGGATTGTTTAATTCTAATGATCATTGCTAGCAATGTACCATGTCAGATCTCCACGCGGTGGAAACCACTAGTTTTCAATACCTCATGTTCATCTTATCATCCTCCACTGGTGCCCCGCCATAATTACATCAAATACTTTTATTAAACAATATTTGATTATTTTAATAACTTCAATATCATTTCACCTACTTTAGTACCTAACCTAACCACCTACTTACACTACATAGTAATTTAACTATTGGACCTCTATTACTGCGTCTGTATTAACCCTAATATAATCGCGCCAATACATGAAATGGTTTACTGTTATTTCACATTCGTCTTTATTTGATTAACAATTGCAAACCATTATAGATAATTATTGTAAATCTGTCAAATCAATATAAAATCTTACAAAAATATTGCACAATAAATTAGAAACTACAACGTATAAATGCAATGTATGAAATCTGTAACTATAGGTTGATTCTTTCTAACTTATTAATATCAAAGTATACATCTGTCATAGAAAATAATGCGTGCACTAAACTTCAGTCTAAAGGTGAGAAAGATCGCGTGAAATCACTATGAAAGATGTAACATCTCCGGAGCGGCAACACAGAATTAGTAGCCCCCTCCGATCGATCCCCCGTCCAATTCAAACGGGGATCGAAATTACGACGGCCTGAGCCGAGGTTCGAACCCCTAGTGGTGCCCTCAGACTAAAGTCGTATCCGTCAGGCAGGAGTTGGCCTTCAGCCGCTCCATAAGTCCTTCCGCGGGTTTGGAGTGCCATCTGCACTCGCCCCATAACGTCCGGTGAAGCTGTAAAGGCCAGCTGCGGCCAACAGCATTAGAGTAGTCCGAAAAAAATAAAAACAGAATTAGTATCTAAGTATAGCGTGTTCATCTATATATAAGTAACTTAGTAAAAATTATAAGATGGGCTGTCTGTTTTAATAATTAAAAAAGTTATATAATATCATTTCATTCCACGTTATTTCTTATCTCTGTATAAATTACCGTTAATAATGAATAGTACTTCATATTTCAAAGAGATCCAGTGCAAAACTCAACACTTCACAGAACACTGCAGTAAACAACTCTGTAATTCAAGTCGTATCTATTTAAGTCAAATTAACCACGGCTGTAGACTTCCGTGTACTTGGAAATTAATCTACTTTAGTTTAATTTATCATGTGATAATAAAATATATTTGCAATTAAATGAAACCTACGACAATATCTCGCATTGCTCTTCCAAATCCTCAAAATGCACAGAGAAAAAAGACAAAGTTTTTAAATTTTGAATAAAGAATACTTTAATTTATTATTATTATTATTATTCAATATTTTAATTTATAAAATATCTCGCATTGTTCATCCAAATCCTCAACATGCACAGATGAAAAAAAAAACACTTTAAAAGTTTTTCAATTTTGAATAAAGAAATTTCAATATTTAGTTTTAGAACACTTCACTTGTACACGGTAAAAACAACATTATCTACGCAGCACAGAGTCCTAAATTTGTTTTCACGAATGTACCTCGTGTTGAGGTCTGTACCGAACGCAAGTGTATGCACGTCTGACCCTACACTTATCGTATTGATAACTTACAATAATAAAATTTATTAGGTAAACAAAGTAATATAAAATTGTCTTCATTAGGTAATGTTATTTACTTACTATATAATTAGTGTACATATCACAATACGAGTTTATTGTGTAAAATTACAATAACAAAATTAGGTGTGAGTAATTAGTTAAATACTTATCTATACAAAGAAAAAAAAAGAGTCTGTTTGTTAATTCCATTTAAAATTGTAAAATTAATATCTTTTCACTATGTGCATGTGAAACTGTATACGGTATTTACATAAAAAAAATATGTTTATGACTGTTTGTTTTTCTTAATCTCTGAAACTGTAGGACCGATTTTGACGGGACTTTCACTCGCAGATAGCTAATGATATAAGGTCTAACTTGGGATACTTTAATATTAGAAATTTTATTGTTTTAATTGCACGCGTGCGACGTCGCGGGCAGCATCTAGTATTAAATATAAAAAAGGCAAGAAAAATAAAGTAAAGTGAAGTCGCGAGTAATCGCGATAGACAACAATCCCCCAAACAAACCCTCCCCTCCGACCGATCCTCCGTCCAATTCAAAGGGGATCGAAATTAAGACTAAGCCGTGGTTCGAACCCCTAGCGGTGCCCTCAGACTAAAGTCGTATCCGTCAGGCAGGAGTTGGCCTTCAGCCGCTCAATAAGTCCATCCTTTGGTTTGGAGTGCTCTCGCTCCCTATCGTCCGGTGAAGCTGCAAAGGCCAGCTGCGGCCAACAGCATTAGAGTCGTCCGAAAAAAATGCTAATGGTAGGCAAATTAAACAAAATAATATAAATCCAATGAGTATTTTTTTATTAAAACGACAACTTTACGTTCGGAATACTAACAAAGATACATCCATCAATCACAACCGTTCATCACCTGTCTCATCATCAGGTGACGTCATAACCCAAATTGGCGGGAAAAGAGACAGCGTGGAGCGCGGAATGGGGTCGAGCGCGCGAAAAATGTCCCCCAACAGCTGGCGGGCGGCCAGGACACTCCGGGACAATACTCCAAAATGGCGATGACCCGTTGACTCCGCACCATAACATGACTCTACTGATATTTATAAGACAAACTAGTTATTTATTTTATTTATTTATTTAATTCAGGCCACGTGGCCATAATAAATACCTTATAGACCAGGGTAGACGAACCAATGGCACGCGAGCCATTGACGGCATGCGACACAATATTTTGGGCACGTCGTCGATCATAAAACTGTTTGAAGAAGCTGGCTCATGCTATTTTAATAATATTCATTATTTTCAGAGATGAATAACATTAAAAACTCGCTTAGAAACCGTTTGACAGATGAATCCAGTTCAGCATGCATTTTGCTAAAAGTAACATCGTACAAGCCTGACATAAATTATTTGTCACCTAACCTGCAGCAACAGAATTCACACAAATTTTTCAGTAATTTAATTTATACGTGTAATGAAAGCTATACAAAATGTACCTCTTTTGTTTACTTTATTTCAAAAAGACTTTTGATAGTATTTATTATTATTATTTTCCAAATAATCAGAAAGTCAAAATTATTTGATGGCACATCAATGAACCCATTAAACATTCGCATATAAAGGTTAGGCAGGGTAGGCGACCCTGTTATAGGCTAACATAATTAATGTAAAGAATAGAATAGAATAGTATATATAGAAAATCATTTATTCAAATAAACTTAATTTAAGCACTTTTGAATAGTCAACATTTTTTTAAATCTACCGCTTATTCGGAAAGCTGTCTCATCACAAGAAGAATAAGCAAGAAACTTGTGTTTTGCTCTTTTAAACAATCCTTGTAAGTTCACATTTTACAAGTCGAAACGTGTGAATACAAACTACCAACCACCACTAATTTATTTAGGCTCAAATATAAAAACACAATAAGATTAAATCAGTCGTAGTGATAAGAGCAGACCAGTCCCTACAAGCAGCACTCGTTCACGAGTATGACGGATGAGCCAGCCATCACTGCGCTCGACCATATATTAGGGAATTCAATGACCGTATGATACTTTAGGGTATAATATATATGTATTTATATGGAGGTATATTTTCTCTAAAAGTAGTATATTAAAATAAAAGTAAATTGCAGACATTTAAAGTCACGACAATCTGCCACGGTAGCGCCGATAGACAGTGGGCAGCATGTTGGTGGGACCCGGGTCACGAAAGTTATGACTGTGGTTTCAGCCGTGTGTGAAATTTATAACCATTGTGTTATTCTAATGTATTATATATAATTCTGAAGTTTCATTCAAATCCAGTTCAGCAGTTTTTGTGTGAAAGAGTAACAAGCATACATCCATTCATTCACACTCACAAACTTCCACGTTTATGCCCAATTTACACTCAGCCCGAGTGGGCAGGGAAGTGAGCAGCGCGAGAGTGTAAACACGAGTGGAAACACTTCCCATGCCATTGGCGCTGCCTCTCGCGCTGCCCGGCGCTCCCTCGATTGTCGGTTTCTCGTGCGCGAGTCAAAGGACTGGCAGCGCGAGTGGCAGCGTGTTTTTACATTCAGCCCTCTCGCTCAGTTGTCGCCCGGCAATATTTCCGGCAGCGCGAGTGGCAGGGGAAGTGGCTGAATGTAAACGTAGCATTACATATATACTAGTAATATGTCTATCAATAGTCGAATAACCATATTATGCCTAGTTTAGGACTAGACTGTATTGGGAAATATATGCAAGGTTACCTATTTTTTTTATTTCTTCCATTGTGTTGTAACTGGGCGACCTCGTAAATATTGTAATTCAGTACTGTTTACGTTTTAGATAAATTGTCTGTATGTACTGTATGTCTTCATACATTTAAATGGAAATGTCGAAATTCTAATTAGTTTTTTTTCTGTGCCTTGTATATCCGCAATCAGTAAGTGGTTTGGTCGGTAAATGACTATGCAAGTCTGCAGTCCAGTGAGTGTACGACTTTCTTTTAAAAGATGCCTCCACGCTTTGATTAGGTTTCAAGACCCGGAGTACACTTTATCCAACTGCAGTATTTGTGTCCTTTTGAAGCGTTTTGGGGGGTTGTTAATGAGTAACCTCCAATCTAAATTTAATTTTATTTAAAAAAAATGGTATCCTACCTAATGGAAAGTAACAACAAATACTACAGCCATCACATGATGAAGCCTGTGATACTTTTAATGTATAGTATCGGGGACAGACGAACTTGCGGCTCACCTGATGGTAAATTACCGCCGCCCATAATT